TTTTTTTTTTTTTACTTTTTAGCTGTCCTTTTAGGTTGTTTTGAGAATGTTCTGTAGGCTACTAATGAAAAAAGGACCTCTGTATATTTGTTTGTTGCAAATGTACAGACAATGCAATTGAAATGTTTACATTGGCTTGTCGGGGTAATATTTCTGTCCACTGACAACAAAGTTTTCCTTCTGAATTAGCCTAACTGCACAAGTTTTATACTTAATAAAATCTTTAAAAACAAATGACATTAGTTATACTTTAATTTCCTTCAATAAAAAGGAAATCTTTAAATGCCATTGTTTAAAATGCTTTATTGACTGACGTTTCATAGACGTTCAGTTGTCATTCTCTCAAATTTCATGCCATTTGTAATTTCACAGTATTTTCACCTCCTAAATTACAACCCTTGTAAAGTCACAATTCTATAATGGTAAAATGTACTTAATTTTTTGTATGACATTAAACATTTTTTTTAGAATAATTGTACATTAATGGGTTAAGCAAAACAATTGTGATTATTTCTGAGAACTTTTTAACTGCAGGCAGATATAGGCCTACATTATTGTATAGTACAAATATTTTGATTGTCCCTTATTCTGTCCCTTATTTTCTACAAGAATAAATACTATTTTCTTAAAGAATAAAAGATAAAGAATCACAATTAGCCCTTATTTTCCATTTCTGAAGTTAATTGGCAACCCTAATGATGATGTAATTATCTTTTGACTCCCCTGACAGTGGCACCTTGCTCAAAAAAACAAAAACAAAAACCTCAGTTGTAGGAGTTATGCGAGCGAATAATAGATTTTAAAAGAAAAAGAAAAAAGTGGGCCTGTCTAAGGCATGAAACTCAAGGGCTGGAAATGAGTCCCACTCCGGCCCTGCTCGTCACTATCAAAGTTGCCCATCCCTGATTTAGGCCTATAAACAAAATATATTTTACTTAGCCTAAATATTAGGCAAAAAACAAACAAACAAACAACAACAACAACAAAACAAACAAAGAAAACATGCTAGGTTCAGTCCATTGTGGCACGCTCCAAAGATCTAGGAAAGGAAACAGAGACACTGAGATGGTTTTCGTTATTTTACAAATTCTGAATATCTTTTGTAAACTTATGAATTATGTCTTGCTTTTATCTGTATGACCATAAATTACGGAGTAGCATCGCCGCCTCACACCCGCACACACTAATTTGATATCGCAGCCTGTTCAGGGGGAAGTCGTGGCCTAATGGTTAGAGAGTCAGACTCGTAACCCAAAGGTTGCGGGTTCGAGTCTCGTACCGGCAGGGATTGTAGGTGGGGGGAGTGAATGTACAGCGCTCTCTTCCACCTTCAATACCACGACTGAGGTGCCCTTGAGCAAGGCACCGAACCCCCAACTGCTCCCCGGGCGCCGCAGCATAAATGGCTGCCCACTGCTCCGGGTGTGTGTTCACGGTGTGTGTGTGTTCACTGCTGTGTGTGTGCACTTTGGATGGGTTAAAATGCAGAGCACTAATTCTGAGTATGGGTCACATTACTTGGCCACATGTCATGTCACTCATTATTAAAATAAAATACAATAAAACACTATAGTTCAATTTGAATAGTCTGTAATATAATCTGTGCCATTCATTGCATGACCACTGCCTCACTGTGCTGTTATTATTAGGCTACAGCCTATATTATTACATATTTTTAACCATGCACAAAACATTTTAAAATATTACATTAAAATATTTAAAAAACTTTTCCAGGCCCCAAAACACCCTCGGACCCCAGAGGGTTAAACCGAGTTTTGTTCCCTTTCGTTTCATAAGGCCAACATTTGGACAAAATCTTGTTATAAAAGATGATTGTAGCATAATGGCTATGACTTGACGGCGAGACTCTTTCAGTGGCGAGCAGTGACTTTTTTAACCAGGTATGCTGAGTGATAGGATTAAGACCCTCCCCCCCCCATCGGCTTTTAGGACACCCTCAAAGGGGAACATAGATTACAAATAAGAAACACCGTGGCAGGTGTCGATTTAAAAGTATGCACATTTCCTACCTTATCTGTAAATGAAGTTCATCTCCAATCTTTCTTCTATCATTTCAGGTTTATCCATTGTTCATGGATATAATTATCCATTGTTGAACCGACAGTAACACTGTTTTGCGTTCTTAGTAGTGTTCACCAGACTAAAATTTCAATAATCCTATAACCTTAATAACACAACATAACCACTACAGTAATGTTTAAATGCCCACGACAAGCATGTAAAAACCATTAATAACTGAATCATTAGTATTTTATTTCTATTTGAGCTGTACACTGTAAAAAAACAATTTGTTGAGTCAACTTAAAAAACGTTACCAACTACACTGACTCAGAAAACACTCCTTACTATTTCCCCCCGACACATTCATGGTAGTTACTTTTGCTGGGGCTTTGCAGCAAGCTTTAGCCTACTGCGTGAACTCTTCCAGCTGCGCTGAAGGCACGCTGCTGCTGCTGGCGGGACACTAAACACCGTCCGAGCCGAGGTCTTGACAGTCAAGGTCTCGTGTTGTTTCCACCAGCGTGGCAAATCTTTTTCATCATCATAATTGATGGATGTCTAAAACAAATACAAACAAAAATTGATGGAGAAGCCTAAGACAGGCGTCTCAGATGAAGCGTAGCCCTATAGGGACATAAATAAGATGGGCCCCGCGGGCTGAAATGCAGGGCTCTCCATAATATTCCTTATAGAATCTGTCGATATGTTTTATGTTAATGTCTTGTGATTAAGCTCTGTTTTTGCAACTGAAGATAAGGAAAAATGTGAATTATTCATTGGATCTTAACTAATCGTTAGGCTAAGTAAGAATGTCAAAATGTTTTAAGTTATTACTTATGTAGAGCTGATTTTTTATTTTTTTTTATATGCGTTTCTAGCCAATCGTAATTTTAAGTTTAGGCTAGGCTATACATAATATTTTTTATAGAAGCTGTCAATATGTTTTATACAATTTTTTTTTTTGTGTCTGTTTCTGTCTTTTGTCTAATGAATTTAATTTGTAACTAATGAATAAGTGAGAATATTAAGTCATTATTTGATCATGTAGAGAATAATAAAAAAAAAAAGTGAAAAGGTGTGTTTCTAACCAAACTTTAGGTGAACATGCTGAGCGTTCATAATATTTTTATTAGGCCGAATGTTGAAGATCTGTCTATAGCTCAGTTTATGTAACTGAAGAACTGAAAATAAATAAAATGCATAAGTTTGTCATGTCAGTTGTAAATGAACATGCGTGCAATATTTACAGAATGCAATGTTTAGGCTACAGCAGCTCTCAATATGTTTTCTATACATAATTTCTTATGTATATTTTGTAACTTAAGATCCTGAGCAAGATGAAATGTTTGTTGTGAGTTTGATAAAATGTTTTAAGTAATAATTTGCTTATGGCAAGCTGAAACAAAATATTTATGTAGACATATGCATGTGAGTTTTCAGTGGCGCAATGGGTTTGGTTGGAGGGGGATGCCGAGCACCCACCGGTGGAAAAAGAAATCGGCGCCTATGAATAAAACTGTTTCAAAATGACTAGACCTTGTGAGGAAGACTAATTTGACCCCTAATTGGATCTGGTTATTTCAATTAAATAGGTAAATTTATTGAGGGGTTTGTAAAGGCTTTATTTACATGCCTGGTCAGACTTACTTGCATATAACAGTTCTCTAGTTCTGGTTTGTTATCATATTGCTTGATCAGTTTCTTATGATCAAATGTGTTACGATAAATTTCTCATTTTCTTTAGTTTCAGGTTTTTCAGGACTATGGAGGAACGGCGTTTTATACGGCGCCCAAATTTTGCACTGAGGTACCAGAGGCATCATACATATCAGTGGTCCAGCCTACAGCTAAGGCGTAAGCCCAGAGCCTCTCCTCCTTCCAGCCAGCAGTTCCACAAAGGCCTGAACAAGAATAGCTCCACGGCACATATTGAACCCGGCAGAACAGGTTAGCTGCATTGTGCTATATCTGCATGTTAGCATTTTTGTTGCAAATTTGGTTGAACTAAATTTTGCAGTGCATGTATGGACTCTTAACTCTTAACACTAGGTGGTAGTGTCAGTTTACACATTAAAATTCTCAATGAGAGGTAGCATTCTGTGTTTTATTTACAGTTGCTTTACAGAATTTCACTTAAATTTTACTCAGTAATCATTTAATCAATTCAATTCAAGTTTATTTGTACAGCGCTTTTCACGATACAAATCATTGCAAAGCAACTTTACAGCAAATTAAGTTTCTACAATATTTAGTGGTAGCTTATCAGTGGTGACTGTCAGTCAATGTACATATGGCAGAAATGTACGGAAAAATCAATTTAAGACGTAATAAAACAATTCATTTTTTTTATAATACTAAGTAATACTCTTACTCTCGATACTCAGTCACCAGTGTCACGTGATCCTTTAGAAATCATTCTAATATGCTAATTTGCTAATTTTTCATTATTTTCAATGTTGAAAACAGTTATGCTGCAATCATTTTTTCAGGGTATTTTAAGAACAGAAAGTCCAAAAGAACAGCATTTATTTGAAATAGTTTTTCGTAACAACGTAAAAGTCTTTACTGTCACTTTTTAGCAATTTAATGCATCCCTGCAGAACAGACCTATTAATTTCTTGCTCAGATCCCTCCTTCAGTGCACGCCTATTGTGTATCTTTTGCTCATTTTATTATCTGCCAAACAAAGACTGAATGTTTGAGAAAGATTAAAATTAGAGTATCACAACTTAAGCTCAGGTAAAACCTGCGCCACGGCCTCCAGCTCGAGCTGCATTCGGAGTTGAATTTAATTTGATGTTAAAATATGTTCTCTAATCTCAGTACTGTTTGTTTATGGGCAGGTTATAGAGTCAGTCACGGCCAGTGGCCTAACTTAGTAATGACGGGCCCCAGTGCAGGCTATTATGATGGGCCCCCTGGGTGCACGGTTATGAAGCACATACAAACACACAGCGCTCGTGAAGGGAACACATATAAGCGAATTTGTGCCTACCCAACTTAATTTAGACCAATTAAAATCAGTATCTTACCTGTTTCTTCTATTAAATTGAACAGTTCTCTTTGCGTGCGTCTCTCCACCACACAAGCAGGAATCACGGCAACCGCAGTCCTCTCCAAGAGGCAAGACGCAAGAGAGCACGACCCCACCACTTTTTGCAAAATCTTGCGGCACGCACGGATGTACCTAAAAGAAAGAAACATCTCCATTCGATTAGAAATTCGTTGGTCTGTGTTAAATAACAGGCGAACTATCGCTGAAATGAGTTATTGAGAGTGCTCGTTACAGCTGTTATCAGTTGTCTCTTGGCGCTCGTGCACTATGCGCAGTCTTCACACAGACGACCGAGCGCTTCGTTCTATAGAATTATTATTATATATATATAATACATCATGTACATCTGTTACAACAAATCTGAAAAAAAAAAAATGTTACAAAAAAATGTATGGTAACACTTTATTTTAAGGTCTCTTAACTAGTTGTTATTAGCATGCATATTACTAGAATATTAGCCATTTATTAGTAGTAATTAAGCACATATTAATGCCTTATTCTACATGACCTTATTCTGCATCCCTAATCCTACCCAATACCTAAATTTAACAACTACCTTACTATTAATAAGCAGCAAATTAGGAATTTATTGAGGGAAAAGTAGTAGTTAATTGTGAATAAGTGTTCCCTATTCTAAAGTGTTACCAAATGTATATATAGCATATAAATGTCTTTCAGTTTTGTTCTGCTGCATTAAAAGGTCAGATTTAAATTACAATTCTACAATTAAAATTCAGGAATTCTCATTTTAATTCTGAATAATTCATGTGCATGCAGACGTGCATGTCTGTTTTTTTTTTTTTTTTAAGTTGGCTAAAAATCAGATGTGGTATGTTGAGAAGATTTTCCTCCCCCTCCATCTCACGGTTATGTGCTTGGTGACTCACTGGTTGTGTACGTGTTGCTTAAAAGTGGGATATAATGAGAGAAAATGTGTGTGTCTATGTGTGTGAGTGTCAGAGAGCTGAAGGTGTGAAGGAATAGAGAGAGAGAAAGAGAAAGAGAGAGAGAGAGAGAGATTGGTCACATTTGTATGGATTAAAGCATCCAGGCCCACCATCAGAAAATAAAACAACCCATGTTGTGAGGCAGATTTTCCAAATGACACTACACAGATTTTCTTACAGAAACCTCTCTCTCTTTTTCCCCCCTCTCTTTTTCCTTTTCACCTTGCCCTTACTTTTTTATAGACATTTCTCGGCCATCCTCTGGAAACAGATCATCACTGCCATCCACAGTAAGAGACCAGAAACTCCTTGCTTTGTATCATTATGATCATTCTCAAATGAATGTTTTTGGGTCAATATAAGTTGAACTCTGTATTAACACAAAATGTGATATATGTGTGTGTGTTGAATATGATTGACTGAGCAGAATGCCAAAAGTGCTGATGCTTAGTCTAATAGCACTAGGAAATTGTTTTTATCACGCTGCTTCTCTGTGTTTGCATGTTCCACACTGTAACATAGAAGTAGCTTACGACTAGAGTGTGATACATTTGCAGCATTGAGTTTATTGGGCGAAAGCAAAAACAGCATCATAATACAGGCAAATATTGACAGTAGGAACACTGTAACGTATACAGGGACGAGACAGAGCAAGCACAGTTTAATTTGAAACACCAACACAGATAATCCAAACTCAAAACAACTGTGGACAAACCACAGACAGGAGCCAGGAGAGCAATCAGAAGACAAAACACATACAGAAAACAATAACTGACAAAACACAACTGAAACACAGGGGTATATATATACATAGGTTAACCAGGAATGATGAGGGACAGGTGTAGGTGATAAGTTGGCATGGTAAATAATAAGGGTTGCTATGGTAACAAACAAGGCAGCAAGGCAAACTGGGACAGGAACTGAACAAAGGAAGTGAAGAGGGAAACAATAGGAACAGAAACACATTACATAACATAAGTCTTAAAAAAAAAAAAAAGAGGGACAAATACAAATATTCAAGCAATAATCAAAAATGTAAATCAATAAATAATTCACTCAACCCATTCATTCATAAGCTGATTCATGCTGGATTGGAAGGCTACTACTGTGGGTTATTCTGAGATGCGCAAAGGATGATTTTGCTGTGACTTTGGAACGGTTTTCATTTGCAAATAGACACACAGTAACTAGCAATATAGTTTCCAAAATGTAAGGTAGGGGAGCGCAGGGCACAAAGTAACGCGGGGTAAGTTGTATCACACAAAGTTAAAAACTATAATTTTAATCTCCAATCTGTTATTTATCAGTTTAAATTCTTTTTTAATGCTTCGCTAACTATCAGAAGACAGTAACCGGTTTTAAATTCCAGTTGCGAAGATGAGGCACGTTGTAACACTGCATTACAATGTGTAAAATGTATACACTGTAATTATGAAACAAAGTGACATATTTGTACTAGACAAGTGTGAAATTACTGTGGAAAAAAAAATACTCTGAAACCCCATGTGGATTTACACAAACTGAGAAAGTCAAAAAGTGTTACTTTGTGCCCCGCTCTCCCCTACTCAATATTAACTTTATTGAACCAATGTTTTCAAGACAATATCATACATAGAACTGTGCTTTTGTTCTGGATATCAGCACAGCTGTGATTATGGCCAAATAACAGTCATGCTAATGTTCAAAAGAACAGAACTCTAGTCTGTGTAATATTGTTTAAATATATAGGCTTTAAAAGCTGCTTACTTTACTCTTGTGACAATTTGTTCTGCATTCCTTCACAACCCAGCTCCACTATTATGTCAATTTTATTTACTTGTTTGAGGAAGCCAGCATGATAATAATTTGCAACAGACCTTCAGACTTTTATGATTTAGTGAGTTATATAATTTCAACTTGATGAGGCTTATGATTTTCTTAAAGAAGACAGTTAAAACTCTAGCAATCTACTAAAATATACTATCAAAATGCTAGCAATGTGCTAAAACATGCTAGCAACATTCTAGCAGTTTAGACATGCTAGCAGCGCGGTATCCTAGCAACAAATGAAATCATACTATCAATATGTTAAAATATGCTAGTAATGTGCTAAAAATATTAGTGATGTGCATAACATGTTAACAACTTCTAGAAACAAGTTAAAATGATAGCAACATGCTATAAGCTACTACCACAAGAAACTTGCTAGAAGCATTTTAGTAATGCTAAGACATGCTAGTAAAATGCTATAACACCTTAGTAAAATGTTAGCTGTCATGGCTTTGCCAGGCTCCACCCTCACTCCCTCACAGCGATCACAATCTCCAGATTACTGGATTGCACGCACCTGTTCCCAGGCACTACACCACTCAGCCACGGAATATAAGCACGCACATCTCAGTCACTCGTTGCCTGGTCTTGCTTGTGACTAAGGACTACTTACCTCCAAGTGATGTCCCCATTGTCAACAGCATAGTTTCCTTGCTCCATCTTCGTGGGTTCCCTGATTCCCTTCCAAGTCTGTATAGTCACTGCCATCTAGTGGTAATTAAATGAAGCTTTGTGAAGTACCAAGGCTTTGCTCTCAACTGTATCGCAAAAGGGTTCATTATCTGATTCTTTGTTTTATTTTATTGTATAAAAATAATGGTCATTGTGAAAGTCATTAATTTGTGTACTGGCATTCAAATAAGTAAAACAAACTAAACATAAAAAAATAAATTAAATCACAGACCACCCTATCACTCTCGAACAGGGTAACACAGAAGGACTCTGTTACTCATCAGCCATTTAGCCAACTGTAACAATATCATCTGACTAACTAGCTCATGCTCATTGCTGCAACTCTGCAATAAAACCTGCGTTAAACTGATCTGTGTTTTGAGTCTGGTGTTCGTTACGAAAGACCAGACCAACAACGCATGGCAACATGAGCAATCCAACTCCAGATCCATTCAATGAGACGTTGCTTGCTCCTGACCACCTATTGACAAGACCTCAATCCCACTCTGTGGCTGCATTTTGCTTCATATGATGATTCGTATTGGACTTGAACAGTTTATCCAATTCTCCATAAAAATCGCTCATTGTGTGCAGAAATGTACTGTATGTAATGAGATGTCCCATTCATCCACCTCGTCCTCTGGTGAGTTATGTTCATAGTCCAAGTAATCATATAATTCCAATTCTATTGCTTATCTCACTGCTTCTGTTTCTATTTCAGACCTCACCTAATTGACTTTAGGTCAGCCAGCAACTTTATCTCAGGAGAACTCTGTAACGTGTTTTGTTGGTTCTCTTGTGGAAATTGAGCTGGTGGCAAAGTACAATCTATAACTGGCAAGCTGCTCTGCCAGGAAAATGTCCCCTACAGTGTGTGTCCCATCCAGCTACAAGTTGATTTACAGTAGGTGGACAACCAAAATGCCTATTACCGCCGCCGCAGGGCCACAGCGTTAACTGCAAGTCAGTCACGTGTTAAAGTCGTTCACAAAACTACCGCAAGATGGCCCAAAGGGACAGTTTGCAAACTGACTGGAATTATATTTTGTTTTGTAAACGGAGATCAAATAACGAAATAAAACAACAATAACATTATAATATAACATTATAGCATCCTTAAAAATCTGAAAATTTACAGTGAGGGTTAATTTAGGCTGCAGCCAAACGCATCAAAAAAAAATTAAAAAATTAAATGTACACAAATGCTCTTATGTAATGATAGTCCACTGTAGGCGAGCGTAGTGATGAATCCAAGTGCAGATTTATTTAAACAAAGTGATCCAAACATAATCCAAACAAGCAAAGACTTGACTTGACTTGACTTGACTTGAACCAAAACCAAGAACCAAGAACAAGAACCAACCAATGAGGAAACAAGACACATGACTAGGACAATCAATCAGAACTTGACACATGAACCAAAGAACCAATCAGAACATAACACACAGACAAGGGAATCACATGACAGAACAAGGACCATGACTAAACTCCAAAATAAAAGACATGAAAACATGAACATGAACCAAAACCCAAACCCAAACCCCACATTACATCTTACTGCATGTTATGGTTATTAAACAGTCATTATGAAAACCATGAAAACTACACAATTTCCTTATGTTGTATTAAGGGGCTTTCATTTCAATCAGGCTAATGAAACATCCTGACCTTAGCTGCTGGTCCTCTGTACAAGGCTGCACGTTCATAAGACTCTATTAGAGTCGCAATTTACTCTCACTCACACCATAAAAATAAATGAATAAATAAATAAATAAAACCTTGAACAATATAAGTTGTGAGAAATCAACTTATCAAAAAGTAGGATATTAACTTGAAATGTTTAGATTACATTTAAGGAGTTGTGCATTATGCCATAAAAAATAAAACGATTGAAAAGGTGGTTTATTGTTGAGTGTTATAGGCTAGGCCTAGTTCTATCGCATATTTTGGCACTATAGTCACATTAATGCCACACATTATGAAAGGCTTGAAACTTACATTTAATAATTCGCTGATGTATTTCAGCAGGTCACACATACGTATTCGTTATCTGGCCTTTTTTAACATTTATTCCCGTATACAGAGCCCATGACATGCCGAAAATTATGTCCATGAATTAACAAATTGATCACTTTTTATCGTTCCTTTGTATTAATTAAAACATGTTTAAATAATAATGAAACCATTTTTTATAATAATAATAATAATACTGATACTGATAATAATACCGTAGAGAGTTTGGGCATGCAGGAGATCCGTAAAATGTAAAAAAAAAAAAATGAATTAGACAACACAATACAACTTAAGAATTTTGTCATTTAATTAGAAACAACCCCTGATTCACAACATTCTTTTTCAAACGCAGAAATCAGGTAGAGCCCTGCTCGGGCCTCAAACCTAGGCCCTAACCGGCCCTTGGTCAGTATCCTCGGCCCGAATCCGACTGGAGCCCGTGTCTTTTTTCTCTCTCTCGCTTCCTAATTACACAGCTGCTGTTGCCATTAAAATAGTTCAGTTTTGTTTTTAATTGCAAAGTTATATTTCTTTTTGTTTCATTATGAATTAATTTAGAAAAATGTTTGGAACAATTTTTTTTTGTTAAATTCAAGATTTTTTTTTTAAGTGACGAGCAAGCGGATAGCGGCAGACAGCTGAGTTGATCAAGTTTGATCAATTTAGCCTTCTCGTAGTTTTTATTTGAGGTTGAAAAATAAACTGTGCTATTATCATCAGTGCTATAAGTCAGTTTTGCTGTAGGCTATTCATCAAAAGCAGCATCAAAAAGCAGCGTGCTCACTGGCAGTCCAGT